CATTATAACAGTATACTTAAAGTCTACTTTTTATAAACTAAAAAGTCCCAGTTTTGTACGAACAAGTATTACAGTATTTATTCATGTATAATACAGTTTCGAGTATAATACGATCATAATTTTTTGAGCTTAAAAAGCATTAAATATCTCATTATAAATAACTCGTATATGATACCCACCCCCCTCCACACACACACACACACACACACACACACACACACACTTACACTTTTTGGATGATCTTGAGGGTTAAATTTCTAGTATTATATATGAATAAATACAGTACTTTCTACTACACTACAAGTACATGGTGCCTAGTACACTTGGTATACTTACATTTATACTCAAGTAAAATGAACTTCAAGTATACTACGTCATTTTTTCAGTTTTCAGGTCAGCTGGCTGTGGCAGCCATCTTGAATTGTGTTTGCTCCAAAAGCTAATGTGTTGCAGATGTACATGTAACGATTGTTTCCTGAAAGTTTCATTAAAATGTGTCCAATGGTGCATGAAATATCTTGGTAACAGACTCATGAATACTAGCAGAGACAGAAAACAGTATTATCCACCTTCAACTTTCAGCAGTGGTTAATTAGATCATTCAAAATATGTTGGATTTTATTATTTAACCTCATGATAAACCCACATATTTGCATCAGCATGACTGTATTGCAGATAAGTTATTTCTGATGTCAGCTGAGTTTTAGCAGCAGAGGGGCTCTGCGGTCGGTGCCACCCTTCTTTCTGCCTTCACAGCTGCAGGTTTTCACCTTGGCGGAATGATATCACTGCGATCCTGCACAAACAGGGACAAGGGAAAAACCTGGGCTGAGAGGAGGAGGGGAGGGGAGGGGGGCAGGAGGAGGAGAGCTGAGTCACTCCGGTGTGGGGGCTTCAGTGACGCAGAGGGGCACTGAATCATCTGGAGCCTTATTGAGYATTTCCTCCATTTGATGCAGTTATCGTCCCAGAGATCATCACTGTCAGCATCAGCTGACCAGGAGACTCCGTGTCCCAGACAGGGACAGATAAGATGAGCAGATCTCAGAGACTTGGAGGTAAAACCAAACAGGGCCACTGCATTTACTTAAAATAATTAAAGCCTTGTACTTCTTAAAGCACAAAAGTCCAACTCAGGGGCCAAGTGTGGCCTGCCACAACTGTTAACGAGGCCCGTGAGAGCTTCAAAGATAATGGTTGTGTCCTTCTAAGGATGAATCTGAAGGCCGATTATGTTGCAGCGATGCATCAAACGCAGTTCAAATTCAAAGGCTCCTCCAGTTGCAACCCATATATGTGTCCCCCTGTTGTATAGGCCTTTGTCATTTGCATAAACACGTTTTTTTATATTATTCTTGTGAGAAGTCATCGTAACTGACCTTGTATTGCCTCTGAGCTAACTTGATTAATTTATATTATTAATACTATGAATTACTAATATTTTGCTCATTTCAATCAATTTCCAATCTTCATTGCTTCTGTTTAGCACACGGTTGCTAGTTGACAGGACTTATGCCGGGGTAAAGGCGGAAATTAATCTGAAGGCTAGACCGTCCATATTTAAAGGCACTTTCTTCCGGTCTTTGAGGGTCCTTCAAAAGATGTGGCCTCTAAATTAAGTGTATGCTGCTTTAAAGCCAGCATTGACCATAAACTACATCTCCCATAATGCATCACACCACTAAGTGGAGGGGGTCAGGGTAGCCAACAACCGGCAACATTTGCCATGAAAAATCTCCATTTCACTGCATTTTCACAGGCTACTTTGTGGGAGAGTTCAGAATTCAAGACAGCGGGTACTCACCACGACTCGGTGAATAAAACTCTCTTACTTGTACTTTTAATAGTATTTCAGTATTATTTCACATTTAGTCAGTTGTACTTTTTAGTTTATAAGATGTGTCAAAACTGTTCCTATGCAGGAAATACCACGTAGAGCTCAGTTATTGCTTGTTAGTGGTGCTCAGTCGTAGCAACGAGACGAGGAACGTGACATTTCCTGTTTGGTCAAAGTTAAAGGGCCACCATGACGCTCATGTGGCCCTGAGTGAAGATGAGTTTGACACACCTGCCTTAAAGGAATACTTTTCAGGCTAGTTTTAAACTAAGATCTTATATTGAGACGTTTTAATTATCAAACCTTGATATTCTAAGAGGCCATGTTTAAAGGTAAGTGCTGCACACGACTTCTGTCACATTTTAGCCGAGCGGCTGTAAATTTGACTTAGTTGTAGCCCTTTTCTTCTTTTTAATTATCAATTTTTGATCTCAAATCAACTCTAAAAAGGAAAACCGTTGCAGACGTGCATCCAATTATCACTTTTTGACAGACGCAGACAAAAACAATATCCCTTACAGCAGTGGCAGAGTTTTGTAAAAGAAAACCACTACTGATGATGGGAGATCCTTTATCACTCTGGGTTCAGGATCTGCTGAAACAGTGTGGGYTCTTCTCAGCACCAATCCAGGACTTGCTGCAGCGCAGAGATTAAACTCACAAAGAAAAAAAAAGATGAAAGAAGCTGTGTTCCTGAAGTCATTTCTGATTTTATTAGAAATGGTTCACATTTCAACCCAAGCAGTTTTTCTTTTTTTTTTTTTTTGTTTAACCTTCGAGAGTGCAGTGCATATAAAATCAGATCCAAAGTGTCTGTCTGTTAGTGCCGCATTCAGTTTTTTATTATTTAAGGGGTTTGATATCAAAGTCCTGTGCAAGTGATATTCAGATATTTACAATCAAATCAGGCAGCCTTGAATCGGGTGTCGCTGCGAAAAAGAAAAAAAAAAACCCAGAAAGGAAACTTAAGAAGTTACAAAAAAAATCTTCAGATAAACAATATATTTCTCCTTTAAAATAGAATTAATAACATGAGATAAAACACAATTGCTTCATCTTTAACCATAGGCACGTCGTAGATATGTGAGGCGTCACGGAAGCCAAATGGAGGCCATGCATCTCCTCTTCTTATATTTGTGTAAACAAAACCACYGAGCCATCCGGCAGCCCAGGCTGGGGCTGCTTAAAGGAAAAGTCAAAGAAAATCAACAGATGATGTCTAAAGGTTTTATCCGTTTCACTTTTAAGATGCTATATGTGGAAAAACTAAAAATAAATTTAAATGTCACCTCATCCAGATGCTCTTAGAGATGTTTTATGGCTCACAATGTTTGGGTTCTTTGGTATAAAACTAACCTAGCTTCTTATAACTTAAAAAAGTCTAATGTAAGAAGAGGAAAACACAGACAGTCTTTTTGATGGAGTACTAACAGTTTCGCAGAAATGAGAGAACTTGGATTACACTTTKAAGCGATTATCTGCAGCATTAGAAGTTGAGATGTTGAAATCCAGCGTTCTTACGTCAGGAATGATCAGGTGCTGTACATGTGTGTGTTTTATCCGTGTCTTTTAATGTGAATGTCCGGGGAACATAAAGAGAACGTCTCACTGGGCTGCAATCAGCTGACCGTCAATGTTCAGGGACGAAGTCTCCAAAAACATTTCGGGACATTTCGTCCCATCGTAGAGAAGCAATGTGACTCTCCTCTTTTATTAATTGTGACGTCAAACCTATCTGAATTTCATCGTGAGCGTCTCCAATGCCTTTCACAGCTACAGCTCTGACAGAACCCCCGAGTCAAATGTCCCAATCTAAAGGTTACCTGTCGACTAAAATTTTAATGAAAAATGATCATAATAATAATTTGGTCCAACGGTGGCAGCCCAGTGAGACCCCGCCTTCAGAAAGGATGATGTGATGTGAATATCTTCACACTTCCTGTTCCTCCATTTTTTCTTCCATTGTTGTAAACATGAGGGGAACAGAACAGTTTGGTGAAAATAAACCAGAACTGCAGGAACTTATTATTTTTTAGCAAATTAGTCTGAGGATGAAAATAAAGGTGTTTAGGACTWTTGTGTTGAAAATGCTGATAAAGTGAAGTCGTTCCGTATTCTGACTTATTTAGCTGTAACTGTTTTTGTTTACTGCAGTGGTTAATGGCTTTAGTTCCCCTCAAATCAGATTTTAGATGTCTGCACACTGATCCTGCTTTCAAACAGAGCCCTAAATCATCTCTTTCTGTTGTCTGAGAAGAAACCAGGAATGGATGATGGACAGAAGATGAGTAGATTCAAAAATAAAAAGGGGGGCAATGAAAAGAGGAGTGGAATGAGCTTTTAGGTTATTTGGTTCACTCTGTGGTGACTAATGAGACTCTGATGTCCTGGACAGTATTTTTAGGATGCTCCACATGTCTGCTGAGACAYACAAGTTACCAAGGTGACCTGTTTTTTTTTTTTTTTACCAAGATCAACTGGGTTCTCCAGAGTGGCTGCTGTTCAGGAACAAGGCAGGGGAAAAAAGAACATACTTCCCTCTTGAAGGTTCCTAATTTGGCACACTTCATGTCCTTTTAGCACGGCGTCTTCAAGTAAGAACTTCAACCCAACAGCTGCCCCCGTTTCTGTGAAAGCACATGCTGATTTACTGGATTCACCTAAGGCAAAGACGGACTGTGAAGAAGAGTGGAAAGTGCTCTGTGAAGTGTCCCTCTCCTCCTCCCCCCCCGGCCACAGCTCCAGTCCACAGCGCTGCAGAGTTACTCATCGGGACGTRAGGGAAGGTTGTCCGCCCCTCGACTCGCTGACACAAAGCGAGCAGCTGAGTCAGGTCGTATCCCCTGCAGGGTATGGTCCAACCCTTCCCCCGGGGGACCCCGCTCTCTCATCAGGACATGTTTAGCAGCTTAGTAGATTTATTGGGGTAATTGATAGCCAGGCTGATGGCAGCGATGTTCTTCAAAGCCTGAACAATAAAAAATAGGCTATTAGTGAAAACGACTCAGGAGCATGACTGCAGAGAGAAAAAAACAAGAGAAACACWGAGAGGAGAACTGGTTTATCTCCAGAACTGTTCGAAGATGATAAATAAGAAAACTCAAGCACTATTTTTAATGAAGTTAGTGGATAGTGTGTGTTTTTTTTTCTGTCCAAAACATCATATCAGAACCTCCGCCCCATATTTGAGGRGGGGGCTCCATCTGAAAAAGGGATGTCTGAACATATGTCCTGCAATAGTAAGATACTAAAGTTCCCAGAATWTATTTTTAAAATGATGCCACCTTCTGTGACACATCTGACCAGAACAACCATCACTTTCAACTCTCTTAGTTTAAAACTAATTTACTGTCWGTTTTTCTCAACACATTATTGCTTCTTGCACTGAAGGTTTAATATTTACCAAGATTTGAGTCAAATGATCAACTAAAGACACCCTAAGCTCACTTTTTTCCACTTTCCCCAGCTAATTTCTGCCACTTTTAGTAATAAATTACCAAAACAAAGAACCTGTTGGTGTAATCCCTCCTCAGAAAAGATCACAGATATTTTTTTTAGAGGGTCTGTGATTTTGCTTCATTCTCAACTGTCCGTCTGTTTGCTGCTCACTTTGCAACACATTTAAAGGAGCAATATCATGTAAAATCAACTTTTTTGAGTTTTATATCATGTTATAATGTTATACTC